TCCAGAAGAGAAATATCGCCGCGTTAGGTTCTTCCCCACTGAGAAACGATCTGATCGCATTTTCAGTGGTCGGATGCCCCTCAAGAACATGTGCTGCCCGCCGCCGCCAAGCAGCAGGGTTTGTTTTGTGAAAAAAAGGGCGCAACCGCAAGTTTTCATTCACGCACAGAGAGAAGAGACTAGAAGACAGTCGGTAAGAGAATCAGCAGTAGCAGCAGGAAGACCAATTTGGAGTAAGATAAACATCAAACCTTCAGCGAGTCAAATTGAAATCCGGGTGGAAGGATTAACACTCTACGATCGAAAACATAGAGTTAAATGTCTTGAAGTTTAGTTTTACTAAAACAGTTGATGTATTGCCAATTCAAGCGAACAACGGAAAAGAAGAAGTAGATGTGATCGCTGGAACAAGAATTTGATTCAGAGCTAGGAAGCCAGATGGCTGAGCAATTATCACGCCCAACTCCAGCACGGCTGACGAAAGTTCATCGGATCACGGACCGCATGCCCTCTATCAGGCAATTAGCGCACAAGCGGGCTACCATCCTCGACAGTGGGAGCCGTTTATTGTCATTAGTATTTAGCGGCATAGCGACTGTACTCTTTTTTGCTGCCTTGATGATCTGCCACGATTACCTTGATACAATATCAACAACGGAAACCGTGTCAACCTCATGGATTCTGGTTCGCAACTTGCCATCCCTGCGAACGTTCGATCGGTGTAATTAATTAAGTCCACCGTATGTTCCACGCAGTGTGCGCGCAGTTTTTCAGTACTGAAGAAGAACTTGTACAGCATCTTACGCACACACTCCTCAATCAGCCGGTGGTGAGGGCAGCACGCGCGGCCGAACGTCTTTTGTTCTTCGCGTATTTTCAGTCTTCGGATGCCACTCGAGAACATATGCTGCGTAATTCCCATTTAAGCCGGCTGACAAGCAGCCGTTTGTTTTGGAAAATCGCGGCACAGTCGCAAGTCTTCATTCACGCACAGAGAGAATGGAATAGGAGAAAGTCGGTGAGAAAAACAGCAGCAGCAGTTAGGCAAACTTCAAACCATCAGTCAGTCAGGCAGCCGAGAGCTTCCTCGTCGGTCGAAATCTGGGTGGGGGAAGCACAGAGTTAAGAGCCCCGAAGTTGGGTTTTACTAAAACGGCTGATGTTTCGCCCATACCAACGAACATGCGAGTCCCAGGAGCCCAATTAAAAATAATTTTATTCACCGCCAGGGAGCCATATGGCGGAGTAATCATCACGCCCAACTCCAGTACGGCTGATGAAAGTTCATCAGATCACAGACCGCACGCCGGCAATTAGCGCACAAGTGGGCAACAGTGGAAGCCTTTAATTTTCCTAAGTAAAGAGTGGCATAGCGACTGTACCGTATACATATTCCAACCCCCTGTGCATGCACTACCCGTTTCTTGTATCATCTCTGATGATGAATCCGCGACGGATTTCGAAGAGACAGGAGAATAAAATTCTTGTTACAACGATCCCATTTACTCCTTCTCAGTTAATGTGTCAAAAGTATGTGCTCTCAATTAACGTGATCCTTCGAAGTACCTGATTTAACTATATCCTCTGGAATGGTATCTTACAAGAGAAGCAATTAAGAAAACCTGGCGATTAAATTAGGCACGTGTTTACGGAACGCGGCGACAATGACCTTGATAAAGTACCAACATCGGAACTGCTGTCCACCACACCAGTTCTGTTTCGCGAAAGCTAAATCGTCGTAATTAATAACGTCCACCGTACGTACCCGTGCCTCTCTGATTACTAGTTGGTCCTATTTTTCAATACTGGAGGAAAACTTGCACTGCATCTAACGCGCACACACACTCTCTCTCTCCTCGATCCTCCAATGGCGAGAAAATGTTGAGACGACCTGAATTTTGCTCGGGAACGGCGGTGGAAAAAGTTAAACAGTGCGTCTTTGGCTATTTGAGAAAGGCAATCGATTATACCATCGTACGTTAAGAACACGTCAAACCAAGCTGAGTGCAAAATACCCTGGATGTGCCGAAAGTGAATACGAACCCGGTCTAGTGGGGAAGAACAATAGGAGCAAAATGTCCGCTATTGATTCAACATGCAAACCAGTTAAAGTGGTGCGGTAAACAGTTGTTTACCAATTTAAACAAAGAGTTAAAAAAACAAGTAACAGAAAGGTGTAATAGCCAGAATTAGTCTAAAAACTTGTGTACAAATGAAAATACAACAAAGTTGTAAATGAATATAAGTTTGCCAAAGGGTTACCACACTTCCATGCGTGGAACTCCTATTAACCTGCCAGTAAGCAAGGAGCGTGTTTTACTCTGAATATGATCGCTTTTATAGCATTTAAGCAGCGTAGGACCATTAAACGTCCCTGTTTTTAAATTTAAAAAATAGGAAAGGCGTTATATGGACGTTTTGCCGCTACTCTTAAATGTTACAAATCCTACTTACTATATCAGGCATTATCAACTCAGCACAACACGGGCACGCAAAATATGTTTTTCAATCGGACAAGTCGAACATAAAAGAGAGAGAGAGAGAGAGCAGTAGCGTCACATTAGTCTGTTCCCCCAAAGCAAAAAAAGATGTAAGTGTGGCCAAGGACAAATCGACCGAAGACGTTCACCACGGAGTAGGACGCAGAATTGGTGCTTTGCGTGTGAATAAGCTGATAGTTAAATTGACTTGCGCACCATCTATCACACCCTCGCACTCCGCCCTCAGTCACCTCACATAAACGACAAGAAAATATACAAACGACTGCATGTGAACATGGATGCAATTGGCGACGCAGATAAAGGGCCCGTTGCAGGCCATTACGCCTCTCATAAGGACCGAGTTATTCCACCAGCTGCCAAACATCATTTACTTGACGCTGCACCAGCAACTTTGCCGAGGGTACTAAGTACAGAGCTACAGTGCCAAATATTGGATATGCTGGCCAACGATGGTACTATTCTTTTAAATAAACATGCACACCGAAAAAGAATAGACATGAAAAGAAGCAGATACGATGGCTAGGACAAGCATTTTATTCGCCTGACGTTTCGAAACCCGTCGCAGATCCATCGCCAGAGACAATAGCAGGTATGAAATCAGAGTAGAGCAAAAGCAGCACAACCGCTGTAGATGCAAATACAGTGGGCGCCCAGCATTTTTAGTTCATAGCTAGCGTCTGAAGGCTGCCCGATAAAAGGAAAATAATTGCACAGCCGTTTCTGACCAAAACCTGTTTCTCTCGCAAGAAGAAGAAGAGCATCGCGAAGGAGACAAGATCATTGGAACAAGAACGTTATTAGGGGATCTAGCAGGTTTGCTTAATTTTAACTGACCCAACTGTAAAAAAAACTCGAGGCGTTCGACGGGTTTCGAACCCGCATAGTAGAGAAGGCGTTTACCGGACGCCAACGCTCTAACCACTTGAACTACAAACGTCCCACCTCGCGCCATGAATTTCATCACACTTAGATCGATTTTACCCGCCCAACTTTACCACTCGTATGGGGTCCATCAATACGGAACAGCGAGCTGACTGCCCAAGCAGGATTTTCTAAGCAATCATCTAGAATCCATCACAATGACTACTAGGCTGACTTAATTATTAGGAAGTTTGGTATATTTGCGGGTTCAAATATCTCCGAAGGCCTCGAGTTTTTTCACAATTCAGTAAACTCAAAAAAAGAATTTTACCAGCCTGACGTTTCGGATTCCCTTTCGGGGCCATCATCAGAGAGTATGGACTCGAAAAGTCAGACGAGTTAATGGCTTGTCCCAGTGAGCGTGTCTTCTTCTTCGTGACCCCACCCTGAAAATCTTCTCTTCCACTATGCTAGCGAAGAAGAGCTTGGTTTTAAGAAGTCATGCTACTCAGTCACATCGAAAACCAAACGATCTCGGTCCGAGACACTGACAAGTTAATTTTTCTTTCGAGTTCGTTTTAGGCCACCCACTGGACGAACTGAAAACCTCACCGCAGATCTGTTTGCGTTAATCATTACCTAACTGATGAACAGTAATGAATCTGTTTCTCAAATACTGGCCAATTTCCTTTCTGTCAGATATGAATCTCAAGTCTACAAATGTCCCATTTAAAATTTCGTTGCTACAAATGAGATCTTGGAGAAAATTAAACTGCTGCAAGTACCCCCTCCTCCTAGCTATGTCACAAGACGATCTACAGTAGGATAATGGAATTTAAAACGATGGTACCTTTCAAGAAAAGCGCAGTTCATATGTATTTAAAATGGGGAAAAGTCACTTTTACGATGTATCTTTCTTGAAATTAACCGTTGTGTATGTGTGTGTGGCGTAGACACATCCGTTGCCATCCCTCAGCTGTTTCTACTATGTGTTCAGTCGGTGGTTCGGGACACAATTCCTCGTCAAGTTAAACTTCCCCCAAACATGGAGTTATTTCCGTCCAACGAAAAACTAAACGCCGCAGATGCTGAAGGGGGTGGGGGTGTTGCGCTTTCCAGCAAGACCTACCGCAGGGTAGTGCGCAACAGAAATCGCAGTTACTTTGTTGTTTTCCCTCCCGTTACCGACGGTGATACTGCCCTAGTTTAGCCGGGGCATGTTTCAGTTGGTTCGTTGCAATCGAAAACGCGGCGTATAAACAAGAAAAGGTATTCAAAGGCCGGGTAAAAATGGTCTAAATGAGTGTGAAGGGACTAACCATGGTCTGGAAGCAGGAATGCAGCTGTACGAGAAAGGGTGGCTTCTGTTGGAGGGCCAGCACACGCTTTTCAATCATTGTGCATTCGATGTCGTCCTCCTGAATGACAATGTCCTTCTTCAGTACCTTCACCGCGTAAACCTCATCGGTGTTCTTGTGTTCCGCGAGGATAACCTTGAAAGTGACAAAAAGAAAACATTGTAACTGACAACAAACGGTACAGTAGTGTATGTGCTTCATTCTCCAACAAAAGACAGCTCTCTGTGAATGGACATTTCGTTCTCGTAAGCTTCGGAGAAGACTTATCCCCTCGGTTAGGTCAAAATTTCGTGGACTCTAAAACGGTCTGCTTAAACTCCTGTGGTGCAGCTGATGAATCAGGTCATTGCAGCAGCCAGTCTATCCTTCACTATTGAAGTCATCTAAATGAATGCTTGATACTTTATGTCAAAAGCCATCTCGTAGGTTTCATTGGTGCAAATAAAGGCGTCAACCGGCTGTCCCATGCAGAGTGCGCAGCATTGGTGTCTTGGATGAGCATTAGCTTACAGGGAGACCAACGTGCGCAGCACTTATTGCACCTTCTCCTATTCCACCCATCTGGCCTCGGCGGCAAGACAATGTCGAAACGACCTGACTTGAGCCCTCTACATGTACCACACACGACCCGAGTCCAAATGCCTGTAACAGGCTGCCCTAAGGGGGACTCGGATCTTGCACAACTGGTAGGGAATAAAGACCACACTAGGAAGGGGCCGTTGCAGCCTGACTCCCAGACATAAGATAAACTGCGTTATCCATCTGTCAACAACCCTCCGAGCCACGCCTTAGCGTGTTGTGATAGGTTCAAACGTGCCAAACTTATTATAATGAGGGACGCGCTGATGCGTCGGTGGGGTAAACCTCCAGTGTCAGATCGGTTGCCTGTTCCTGAATCCTACTACCCCTTTCGACGTTTGTTTACTTCCGGAAGCCAAGTAGAGCAGCGTGCGCCCACTCCTGAATGAATATAGACCCGGCCGGCAGCGACAGTGGCGAGGCATTGATAAACTGGAGTTCGATTAAGTGCTTATGACCCCTCTGGCATACCCCCGTTGTGGACCAACTGCGCCATCTGTGAATGCGCGCGTTTATTTTGTTCGACCGAGCGGGTGGTCAGGCTTGGCTGAATGAAGGCAAATAAGCCCGAAACAGTTCTGTATCAAGTTACCCCCAAACGCTGTCATCCGTCACTGCTATAATGACTTGGCCGGCATCGGCCTGGCAGGTGGTCACACGTTTCGGGATCTCTAGCCACCACGTGAACTTTGTTTAGTTCGGAAGCCTATTGGATCGGTGTTCGGACATTCCCGAATGAATATATAAATGCAATTATAAATTGGTCATCTCACAACTGTATAAGCAGCAATCTTGGGAATTAACGCACAAAAGCCAAATATTCTCCTAAATTCTTGGATGGGAATTTTTGCATCTTTAATGCTAAAATACCCTGTAGTTTATTTGAAAACAACTCTAATTATTGGAGATTATATAATATAAATAAATATAACTGTTTTTGTACATATCTCATCCGTCTGAAGACAAACTGGGGAACCAGCTTCGAAAATTCACGTCATATACATTACTCTTCCCAAAGGACTTCAATGCTCATAAAATACTCAATTATTTAAAACACCCTGACGCATGGCATGTATTCTCCCGCAAATGCGTTACATCTTTTAATAACTCAAACCTAAAGGTATGTTTTCTTTCGATCACTTATCATCAGATGAGTAAAAAAGTATATCATCTGTCAGTTACAATATGTGGGATAAAATAAGTATTCGTCATCTGTACATTCACAGGAGATGGGGGTAGAAGGCAGGTGCGTTTAATCCTTAAATTGCTCCTGCGAAGCACCTTATAGATTTTACACGAGTCGGTACCTATGGGACAGAATAAGGGAACATTTCCACGGTTAAGCTAACAGGAAGCACTATGAGAAAAGGAATAGTGCCGTTCGTCAATATATGGCTGAGTCCGCTTACCGATTAGACCCCAAATATCGCCCACTTGACGTAGTTAGGCCCAATGGACTTTTTGAGGGCCCACGAACAACAGTATTACTTAAAATGGCATTGTGTGGACAGATAATACTTCCTCGGGCTCGAATTTATTATGGTCAAAGTTAAATTGAAAATAATTGCTTTCTATGCTCAGAACCTTTCTCAAAAAATATCATCAATAAACGAACCTGTGGGAAAATAGTTGGATTTAAAAGACTGCAATCTCGGCAGTATTTTGATTAATTCCATTTTTACTTTTCCTATCATTGGAATTGATAATTATCGCCTGGTTTATATCCAACATGATGACACACCCCAACACTACATGTAAACAGGCGGCTTTCTGGGGCAGCAACCATGAAAGCACAAGGAGAGAAAAAATGAGCTCCTACAGCCAACTCAATTTATTCGAACTAGTTCACCTAGCCTGACATGCGAACGGCTGACTTCTGCCTAGTAGGGTGTTGTTTGTTCGTGACCTTTGCCAAACACAGGCAGTTTGTTTGCTTCGGGAAGCCAGTAACTCGGTTTGCGCACTATTCCTGTTTGAATAACTACCCGACCTGCAGCAACTAGACATGCCAGATGGCGAGACAATATTGATAAAGGGTCTATGACCCATCTGGTAGACACATTTTGTGGAGTATCTCCGCCGTACTCGAATGCGTGTTTGCGCTTCCTGTCCCAGTGGGTAGTCAAGGTTGAATGAAAGCAGACAAGCCCGAAACAGCTCTGTATCATGTTACCCCCAAAACTCTGTTGTCATCCTCTGCTATTATCGCTTTGCTGACTTCCGCCTGACAGATGGTAGCCTGTTTGTGACGCCTACCACCCATAAGAAGTTTGTTTACTCCAGGAAGCCTCTTGGGTCAGTGTGCCATCATTCCAAACGGAATGATGAAGTACGGGCATCCCAAGATATTTAATAAAGAAGAGGAGAACTTCCTTTGGGAAAGTCGAAACTTTGATGCGTAAATTTCTCCTGTTGCGTAATTGTTCCTGTACATATACCATTGTCTGACAACGAGCTGGGAAACCAGCAGAAAAAATGTACGCATTAAGGTTTCAACTTTCCCAAAGAAGCTCTCCTCTTCCTAATTTGTATACTTTAAATCATCCTCCTCAAAAACTTTATTATTTCCACATCATTTAACAACATTACTCTCAAAAATGTATGGCTTACAGTTGCGCGTGTACAAACCTATGATTATTAATCTTAACATTACAATAAGATACCCCAATTCATTCAGCCCTTCTTTCATGCAACATACAAACCTTACCTTTTTCTTAAAATGTAACATTTCTGCATCCACAGGCACAAAGAACCACTTAAGGTTGTTTTGAAAAAAAACGAAAAAAAAAGAATTTGTAGACTGCGTATAGCGCATAGGTATCCGCTATTCCTCAAAATCTTATCTGCTTGTATAAATAATAATATGTGAAGGTTAGAAAATCGTGTTTTTTTAATCAAAAGTCGATTTATTCACGAAAATAAGCGAAAATAGTTTGTGAATATTTTAGATGTGCTCTGCGAAAATAAATCCGCGAATACTGAACTGCGAACAGTATGGAGTAAAATGTTAAGTACCGCAACTGAGCAGTCCTAGCTTATGTGCTGTCCTCAAGAATAGCTACCGTCGTTGAGCCCTCGCGTAAAACAGCGCAGTTATAAGTGCTCCGAAACTCACATCAATCATCTGCTTTCCCTCGGGCATTTCATCGCTAGGTGATTTGCCGCAATTGTTTTCACAGATTCCGCCCCCTCACAACCGTCCGGTTGCTAGTCACAATGACACCTCCGCATTGTTTCACAGTTTCACACCCCATTGTCTACTCATTAGCAGTCATTTCTAACCTCCAAGAGCTTAAACAATTAAAGCCACAGTTTCTGTTTAGCCCATTTGAGATCGTAGTAAAGACTGTGCCATTAGGCGGTAGCTTTGTACCCCCTGCCAGACAACAGTGTCCGCTGCCCTACAGTTTTAATTCTCCCCAGAATAGCAGTTCTGTCGGCCACTGTTATGTCTCGGGTGTTTGCATCTTGCAAGTTAGGTTGCATGAGCCGCACAGACAAAAATCCACGCCTGCCGATAACCGATCAGCCCATACCAACTTTCGCGTACACCCCTCGCACCACTCCACACCTGCTCAGTCCCTGTAGCTGTTTGTGCTAAATGACCCCAAACCGTCACCGTAGGCCAATTAGCACAGACTAAAGGCGCATTTGGCCTCAACGAGCAGACGATGTAACTGAGCTGGCGGCCATTAGAACACCTGTAATGGCCCAACCCGAATGTGGTTGTTTTAATTGACGTTCTCCCGGTTCTTTCGTCGATTTTCGGAATTCTTCGTGTGCGTACGCCGTCGCGTACTGCCAAGGCTACCATGCGCAAACAGGAAATGAAAATAAAAGACCGGCTAAATGCCAATGAACAATCCGGGGTATTGTATTGCATCTAATGTATAAACTGTCCGTGTAACTATACAGGGCAAACTGAACACATGCCCGCTTCGCGCATACCCCAAAATAAGTTGCCTGTCAGACGGGGTGACGCATTGTCGCAAATGGCGGCCCACACCTACGAGACGGTTCACGAGTTTAACTTCGCAGCTGCGAAGATAATCGGCCACGCCGGCAACAAAACAGACCGGGAATTGATTGAAGCCTGTGCGTCGGATGAGAATTCAATCGATATATCGATCTGGCGCCGGCATAAATCGCTCCCCATAGGCATACTCGCACGGCCGACACTGGTGATTAATGAGTTCCCTCCCCTCCTCCCGCGTCTAACGGTTGATTGGTTCCTGTCACTTATACCTATTGCTTGTTTTTCGTGTACGCTTTTACCCCTGACGATGGATTCACGCAAGAGCCCGAAAGCTCAGAACAATAAAAAAATTGACCCAGTGCTCGACAACCCTTCTTCCTCAAGCGATAAGTCGTTTCTTCGCATTTCTCCGTATCACGTTTCAGACAATCTTTTCCATTCCCTGCCGTTTGTAATAACCTCTTCTGATATCATACCGATTTTCTGTGTTTCTATGTTTGTACCGGTTTAGTTTTGCATTCCGATATTTTTGGATAAGCTTTTTTGTCGCCACTCACCAAATACTGTTTTCGTTATCCCGTATTCAGTTAGCATTTCACCCGATTTGGCTGTTAACAGTTTATTAATAAATTGTTGCTCGACCTAT